TTTACGACTAGCCTTAATCGAAAGTTCTCTCTTGTTATCGGGAGGGGTAATTAACTATAGGGGCTTGCGCCTATAGGAAACCAGAACTCAGATAAAAAAGTCCTCACCAAATGAGGGCGAAATCTCTGGGTAGTGTGTTATCTAAAACCCAATCTGCCTTCTGAAAATTCCCCTGGGATCACACCCAAAATGGAATTTTTCGGAGCCCACACTCACAACATCCGAATAAAGTGTTTATCATTTCTTTTAACTGTAGACATTGTCCATAGCCCATCTATGTTGCCTTTGTTCGTTCATTGTTGTTACCTTTTGGGCTGCCATAGTTGCTACCCTTGGGTTTGTCATTGTCCACTCTAAGGTCTAGAAAAGTCACTACCTTTGGGCACATCATTGCCTGGATATTCGCAATCATCATCAGCTTTGGGATTAATATTTTGTCACCTTTGGGCTAGTTGTGATCGTAGCCCCTAGGTTCATGAACATCAGTGCCTTCATGTTTGCCACTACCGCCACTTTGGTTTGCTTCAATGATTGCTGTTAGTTTTGTTGTAGTTGTCACCTTTAGGCTTGCCATTTTCATCACCTCCAGCCTTATTATAGTCTGTGCCCCTTTGCTTTGTTGTTATTGCTGCCCTTGTCCTCGATCACCATCTTCTTTCTTGTATTTTTTGATGTCTCTGTCCCCCATGATCTGACACTCTAGCTGCCGCCAAGGTTTCCATCTTCAACACTGATCAACATGTCACATCCTTGTTGACTCTCATTATCACTATCAACTGGAGCTCAACGCTTTCTACTATTTCCTTGATTTAATGTATCCATGTCACTTTGATTGCTTTGAGGGGGAAGAATTTCCATACTCAAATTTGATTGATAATGCAACTCCATGTGATGACTAGTCCATATGGTTTTTTCTCTCAGGTTTCTGTATAAAAAAATATCCAGTCTACTTTATTGTATATGCTCAAAATTCTAAATTTGAGACGATCATAATTTTTCCTTCACACTTCTGCTGTTTCAAGGAACGTTTATGCCATGGAACATTGATAATTTATAAGTTGTGAAATATACAGTAGTATTTCATGCTGTTATAATCATATTTGGCTTTATAAAAGAGGTTGGGTGTCCTGTCCGACTCTGAAATGCCCATCCCTTTGCCACCCTCCTCCCCCCCCCCAAAAAAAAAAAAAGCAAAGAAAAGAAAAAAGAAATAATAATAATAATAATAATAATAAGAAAATAAAAATAAAACTCTTAACTTCAATTGGTTTTTAAAATAGATACTTTTTAACATTAGTCTAGTTTTGGATTGCTTAAATTTGGATATTCTGCAGGTAGGATTTGATGCTCTTTATTTTTCCCGGATTGATTACCAAGATAGAGAAACACGAAAAGGGTTGAAAAATCTCGAGATTGTCTGGAGGGGATCCAAGACACTTGGCTCATCATCTGATGTAAGCGGTGATTATATGTATTGATTTGTACTGGCAACTGCTAGGTGCTTTTCTGCAAGCTGAAGTGGTTTTCCTTGATTCCACTTTTTTAGCTCTTTGTGCTCCTTCAGATTTCATTTGCAACGTGATTTTCTTTTTCAGGTTTTCACTGGCATATTCCCGAAGAACTATGAACCTCCTCCTGGAGGTTTTTATTTTGAGGTTAATGACAAGTATCCGGTCATTCAGGTAATGTGTTTATGAGTTTCATTGACAACTTTGAATATCAACAGACAGGAATTCCTTAATGCGCTTTTTCTGAATGTAGGATGATCCTCTGTTGTTTGATTACAACGTGCAAGAGCGAGTTAATGATTTTGTTGCTTCAGCCATATCACAAGTCAGCAAATCTATTATTCTATTTAACTACTTTTTCGTTCTCTATTTTGTCACTTGGCCTTTTCATTTTTGGGTGACATAATATCTTTACAATGGACAATGAAAATAGTGTGCTTTCCTATGGAGGTATATAGTTTCTGGATGTAGTTTAGATTTGTAGCTTTGTGCATATTGGTTTTAAAGTACATGAGGGTGCAAACAATTGAGGGTGGGGGATTCTTCACTAAGGTTGGTAGTGGAGTTGTTGTGGAAATATTAAGAAGAGGGATAGACGGGAGGCAACATGATTAGAAATTGCATATGAAAGCTTGTGCAAATGAGAGTGACACCTCATGTAGCACTTGTAATGAAAAAGGTGAGGAGTAGAATTCATAAATCCAAGATAAAAAATTATGATTAGGCTAATAATAATGAAAGTGCACATAAGGAGTTCAATATGGAGATGCTCATATTGGCAAGCTTGATGAAGGAGATGTGATGCAGGACTAAGTATGCTTAGATAAACGCGATAAGAACTTGCACGTTTTGAATAAGAGCAATTGATAATTATGGACGTTAGCCACTAAACAAAAATAGAAAACTAAGAGGGTGGCTACGCTTAGGCCAAATCACATGCTAAGAACTAGAATCACCAAAGTAATTTAGAATTTTAACAGAATGCAAATTAAGTAGTTATCCAATAAAATCCCTAAGTTAACATTGAGATTAGAAACATAGAAAGCAAAATTCAAATCCTACATTTACTAAGCGAAGGCAGAGAGTTTGGCACGAGTTCTCGTGCTTGAATCACCAGCTACAAGAGTAGAAGATTAGAAAATAATTTGAAAATGGGAAAAAGTTCACCCTTGTCGAGGATCGGAAGTAATTTGCCACTGAACGTTGGCAAGTTGCTCTTCGATTGCTTTGGACAAAGTGAAGATGATGCGATCCAGGTATTCCTCGGCGGTGGTGTCTATTTCCGGGTTAACGTCGAGTGATTGGAGAATATCGACGTGTCCTTGTTCGTTGTAGACGAAGCCAGAGTCAAGATCAGGATTGGCCATTCATCGATTCCGTAGGGGTGAAGTGTTGGCAACGAAGGTCTTTGCTTTTCTTAAGAACTCTTGAGAAAAAGAAGTTTCTCTCAAGAGTTTAAGTGGAGAAGAGGAGGGAGGTGGCCGGCCCAATGAAGGAGGCTAGAGGAAGAAAATAGGTTCAGATTTTGGGATCTTGGATGGAGGGAATTGTGGGGATTTATTTCCTCTAATTAATTCTTACCTTTGGAAAGAATTAAAGAGGGAAAGGGATGAGAGAGGGGGGTGGGTAGGAGAGGAGTGATTTGAAATCTTCCAAAGGGAGGCGTTTGCAATCTGGAAAGAAATCCAAGGAAATTAAGGGGGGGCTGGCGGCTTCATTAGGAGAGAGAGGGGTTTAGGGAAAGGCATTTAAGGTTGCTTGAATTGGATTTAGATATTTGGAAAGGTGTAATTAAATCCAATTGAATCTAAATTCAAATAGGATTTAATTTAGGTAACTTTCAAAAAATAGGATTCGTAATTTAGGAAACAATTCAAATTCAAATTAAATTTGAATATGAATTAAATAGGTTTCCTATCTTAGAAAAACCCAATTGGAAAGGTTTGAACACAAGCCTTGATGGAGAATCCCCAAGGGGGGGCGGTGGCTTGGATGGTTTTCCTGCCGGTTTTGGGTGAAGGGAGGTGGGGGTCGGGTGGGGTGGAGGGCTAGGGGTGCTAGCCCCAAGTCTAAGAGGAGGAGGGCTTGTGGTTGGTTGGCGGTGGAACTTGGTGGAGGCGGCCGGTGGGTTGAGGTGGGGGTGGGCCGTGAGTTGGAGGAAAAAGGAGGGAGGGAGATTAGAAAGAAAAGAAAAGATAAAACTGGCCACAAATCCGGACTCTTCCAAGGTTGGTGGGTGATCCGCTTTCCTCTCCAAGGGATCTCTCTCTAACTTCTCTCATCTCAAGCTCTCACAAGCACTCACAATGCAGAAATTTTTTTAATCATTCAATCATTAACCTCTAAAAGAGAATATAAGGGCTATATATAGCCTCATACCATGGACAAAAAATAAAAGATGACTTCGCCCTTTGGGCTTACATATGACCACCCTTAAGTAAGGGGTAAAAAGGGGAAAACAACTAAAGCAAATGCAAGCACAAATAAATAAAACAATTGTTATGAAGACTTAAAAATATATTGGCGCGATTGTGGCCGTAGATCGGCGGCCACGCCTCTGATAAACTTTCCATGCTCCGATGCCCCCATCAAGATGCTTTGAAAATGGGTGATCTCCGCATTGGGATATGAACATGCCTTATGCTTGAGGATTGCAGCTGTTTTGAAACGGTTGATCTCCATATTGGAAAAGTAGTTGTTATTAGTGGCAAATGGTCATAACATACATTTCTTCAATAGAAAATATATTTCTTCAATTTAGGGAACCTGAATCCGAAATCCTCAACCTTGTTATTCATATTTTTTCATGGAAAGAACCAGTATTTTTTTCTGCATTAGTTTTTTACTTGTTAATATTGCCTATAGCTAATCCATTTAAATTAAAATTGTAATACCAATCTGCGTTTTCATTTTTTCAGGCAAACATTACTAGAACAAATCATATAATGTTCACCATGGGAACTGATTTTAAATATCAATATGCAAATTCATGGTTCAGACAGATGGACAAGTTTATTCATTATGTTAACAAGGTAACTCGTTATTTTGCATGAGTTTCCGAGAAATTTGTCCCCCCTGTTTTATCATGAATCATGTGGCAAGTGATAACCAATTTTATTATATTCATAATTTGCTTTTTCTTGTTCATTGATCTAGTTGATATGCATTTTCTAGCTGCATTAAGAAATCCTATTTGCAGTTGTGGGTTAAGGTATTGTACGTGAACCCTATCTAGATCTCACATTGGGAGGGCCTCATGGGTTGGATAAGCTATTTTCTTGCTATACACTGGATTGGGTGTTTTATGCTCACTCCAAACAGTTCCTTAAGAGTGAATCGAGCATTTTTCTTTTTGGTCAAATGGAGAGATAGTATCATTTAGGTTCTATACAATAAGTCTATTGCTTTTATCCTGCAACTTGTCCATTTCATTAGAAACTTTTGTTAGGCCGGTCCTGCATGGACTGGTCCAATGCTATAGGAAGCGGACCAAGCAGTCCACCTCATTGGTTTTGCTGCCCATGGAAGGTGGGGCCCACTAGCCGAATCAAATAGGAAGGAGGGGTGGGAGGCTAGGGCTAAGGAGGTGGGTTCAATTGATTTAAATAGGGAAGGAGGATTAGAGTTAGGGTTATGCAAATCATTGTGGCTGTTTTCTTGTTCTTGGAGTTGGTGCTTTAGGCTCTAGCGGCATTTAGAGATTGGGAGAGAAGGATCCTCCTCTTGAATAAAGGATCAATTGTATCTTGCAATTTCTTTTCCATTGGGTTGATTTTATATTATAAAAACTACTGTTTTTGTTTACTTTCCATTGGATTTGTGGAGTTTTTTCTGCTGTTTTTGTTAATCTTGTTAGGTTCACTTGAGATCTTCAAGTATTTCTTATCAACTTTCTTTGATGATTGAGTAAACATCTTTAGCTATGGATGAGGATTCATAAAGTTCAACTCAAAAGGGTACTGTTTGTCACGACCCGACCCGGATACTCGATCTAACGAGGCGGGTACGAAAAGTTGGACGATAAAATTCATTAAACATAATACTACATCATTCATGATAAAGAGCCACTAAAACACAAAATATATTTTACCTGTTGTCATTTGCTCCTCGTCTTCTGTAAACATATTCTTCTCTTTCTGCCATTTCTTTTCTTAGGAATTACCTGAAACATTTAAACTCGTGGTTTGAGTTTACTAAGTAAACTCAGTGGAAAATTACAAATTAATCATTATAATTAATTAATCAAGATATCTTCTATCCTTTCTTAACATTGTTTCTTTCATTTCATTAACTTATACTTCTTTGGATATTTTCATTTATACTATTTGAAACAATTGTTATCTTAAATTTTTCAATTACATTTTCTTTTCCCATTTGATTTGCGCAGGAGCACCGTCTCAAAGTACCCAAAGGTACAACCTTTTCCAATTAATTTCCTTTTCCCCTTTTCCATAGAAATTTCATTTTCCTTTTTCGTGCACAAGTACGGCGTCCCCAGCCAGTACCATAAGGGGGTGACTCCTGTCATTTTGCAATACCCTTTTTCCTTTATTTACTTTTCTTTTCTCATTTTCATCCTTATAGTTACCATTGCATATAACATGTATTACATGTATCCTTATAATTATTTCCTTTCTTTTCTTTTCTTTTTCATAAGTTTATCATAGGTGGATTCTTTCTTAAGACTATAAGATCATAAGGATTTGTCTTCAACATTTTATAATACAAGATTTTTAATTAATTATTTATAAAATTGAAATCATGCATAAAACATAAAATAATATAATTTATCCACTTTGAACTTTGGCTTCAATATGATCCAATTTCAATTCTTGCAACGATCTTACTTGTCACAATCAAATCTCCCAGAAATTCTCTTATTAACTTTGATCCGTCACCTTGCAAACAAGATTAGTTAATTCTTTCTAATCCAATTAATATTAACATTAAATTATCCAACATAGATAACAAGAAATGTATGAAAGAAATCACTTACAAAAAGAGAATTATTCTTGACCTAAAATCCTCCTTCGTTCTTTCCCAAATTTCTTTCTCTCCGCTTTCAAAACTCTCTCCCTCCTTGATTTCAATTCCTTCTTTTCCTTCAAGGAATAATGTTTGCTTTAGAAGAATTAAAAGAAGGGGATTTATACAAATTTTTGGGAAGAAAAATACCACAAACTTCTTCCTTCTTTCTCTTCGGTCGTTCCTCTCGTTCGTTGCAAATTCTCCCAAAATAACACTCCTTTAATCGTAGAAATGAAAATGAATGATCAATTCTTATCCTCCAACGCGATCGACTGCTAAAAATGGCGAAAGAAAAACTCGAAATCCCTCCTTCGCACGTTCGGTCGTCCGCCCGCTCCCTGTTTGTCGTTCCGTTCGCAATTAGCGACTCTTCCTGGGTCGCGGGTCTAATAATAGGTGGGTGGCCGGTTCGGTTGAACCGGCCCCCAACCGGTTCATAACACTGTTAGCTTAGATGCTTATTAGGACATAATGTTCGGAATTATTATATTAGGTGAGCATATAAGTAGAATAAGCATTTATTATATTTATTCTCTCATTTATTTTCTTTCTATTATTCTCACTAGACATTTGCAAGAGGTTGTACCTTGGTGTATGCTTTTTGCTAATGATATTCTTTTTGTTGATAAGACTAGAGAGGGAGTTGAAGGTAAACTTGAATTATGAAGGTCAACCTTAGAGTCTAAAGGCTTTCGTTTGAGTAGATCAAAAACTGAATATATGGAGTATAATTTTAATAATAATAGATCTAATGGGGGTTTATGACTTTGGGTGATCAAGTCATTAATAAGAGTACACATTTTTGATATATTGGGTTTATTGTTCAGAGTGGATGAGTGACTTTACTCTTAGAGTCGGGATATGAAATGAGCATATATGTGAAAATGTTGGAGTAGCTCCGGTGGAAAATAAGATTAGAGAGAGTTGCCTTAGATGATTTGGTCAAATAAAATGCCGGCCTTTCAATGACCCGGTTAGGAAAGTAGATGTATTAGATTTGACTTATGTTAAGAAAGGTAGAGGTAGACATAATAAGACTTGGTTAGAAAATATTAGAAATGACATTTCTTTATTAGATTTAAATAATAATTTGACTCTTAACATGACAGAATGAAGAAAAAAGATTGATGTAGTCGGCCCCACTTAGTGGGATAAAGGATGTTTGGGATGAGGAGTAAACACCACAATGATGAAACAAGCAAGAAAGTAAAAATAGCGAAAAAATAAAGGACACCAGGATTTAATATGGAAAAATCCAAAATAGGGTTGATTATGATCCAAGGGGAGCTGAATTTGAAAGGAGATGTGAGAATTTGATAAAACGTTTGGGTACGAGCATAGAAGGGATGATTGAGACACTTGGGGGGAACCACCCCCTTGGGAAATGGAAGATTGTGGAGGATACATGAGGAATGGAGGAGATCTGAGGGCGAGGAAGCTAAAGATGCCTATTTTTTTAAGGCGATGATGCCCATGGGTAGATCTACAAGGTAGAAAAATACTTTTTCGATAATAGGTTGACGGGAAGTGACCGACGACAGTCGAGATGTGTTTGGAGGGGGAAGCTTTAGTATGGTACCAGTGGAGGAATATGAGGCCTCGTGATTTGGGATCGGCTTCTGGAGATTGTGCTAGAGGGGAATTGATGCAGGACATGAATACAAAATTGATTTGATTAAGAATTTTGCACACTTAAATTTTAGAGAACAATAATAAATAAAGATTATATTGATTTAAACGATAAGATAAAACACTAAGGTGATAAAATAAACTTAGGCCAAATCACATGCGTAGATGTTAAGATCTTAAAACAATCAATTACTTTAACGTTGCATACTTGGAAGGGTTTTCAACTAAAATCCCTATGCTAACAATAATACTAGTCACTATGCAAGGATCCTTCACTCAACTCTTAGATCATTAAGCTTTAGCGGAGAAATATTAACATTATCTTCATGAATTGAATAAGACCACAATTGAGAAGCAATTATGAAGATACGAGAGTTAGGGGAAGGGTTTACCCAAAGAAACAGGAAATACGAAGCTTCGGTGGTTGTTTGGGTGCTTGAGAGGAAGTGGACTACAACCAAGAACCTCTTTGATGTTGTGGGCAGCAATTTGAAATTTCAGGACAACACACGAAGATCTCCCGCCCAGATGGACAGCAGGAAGAGGTGCAGAATTTCTTTGGATAACAACTTGCAATGTTGGGGAACACCTTGGACTGCTTCTATAAAGTATTGGAAGCTTTGGACCACTGTGTATGGCCTTCAGGGATACAAGACAGCATGTCAATCTTGCTTGAACACAGGGATATCCAGCAGGAATCACAGGGGCAAGAGAGGAGAACGTGGGGAAGAGGTTGGGAGTTGACGGATAGGGCTGGGACAGGTTTGGGAAGTGGAATTAGAGAGTATATGGGGAGGATTTAATTCGTTAGGAGGGAGAAAAGGGCGGCAGCTTAGGTTGGGATTGGGTGGGGAATTAATGGGAGTAATTATGGGGATTAAGTGGATTGGAGAGAGGAAGTGGGCCGACCATACATGGGGATTTAATTGGGGGAATTTAGAATTCCTTTCCAAACTTAAGATGTTAATTAAGGAAAGGGAATTAGGGTAGAATCTCTAATTATTTCAGATTTGAAGGGATTTGGAAAGTATCCAATTTAGATTAATCTTATTTTAGGAAAGGGTTCAAATTTTGAATTTGAAATTTGAAATCTTTCTAAAGTTTAAGATGATCTAAAGTAGGCCTTTAATTCTTCCCTAGAGGAGTTTTGGGAAGAAAGGAAAGAGGGGAGGGAAGGTAGGGCTGACGGCTAAGGGAAGGTTGGGGTTGAGACTGGCGGCCTAGGGAGGGAACTAGGGCTTAGGTGGTGCGGTTAGGAGGAGGAGGAGGGAGGGATTTCCTTGAGGCCGACAGTTTGAAGGAGGAGAGGTGGCAGTGGGGAGGCTTGGCTGAGAGTGGGGAAAGAGGAGTTAGGGCTGGCAGTGGTGAGGCGGAGGAGGTGAGAAGATAGACAAGAAAGAACCACGATCTC